GGGGGTAGAAGTGCCCGGTAGGCGGGGGTAAAGTGCTAAATTAAGGGGGTAGAAGTGCCCTGTAGGCAGGAAGGGGGTAGAAGTGCCCTGTAGGCAGGAAATGAAGGGTAGGAAGGGGTTCTCAAGTGCCCTGTAGGCAGGAAGGGGGTAGAAGTGCCCTGTAGGCGGGAAGGGGGTAGAAGTGCCCTGTAGGCGGGAAGGGGGTAGAAGTGCCCTGTAGGCAGGAAGGGGGTAGAAGTGCCCTGTAGGCAGGAAGGGGGTAGAAGTGCCCGGTAGGCGGGAAGGGGGTAGAAGTGCCCTGTAGGCAGGAAGGGGTAGAAGTGCCCGGTAGGCGGGAAGGGGGTAGAAGTGTACTGTAGGCAGGAAGGGGGTATAAAGGTGCCTTAGGCCAGGAAGGGGGTAGAAGTGTCCTGTAGCAGGAAGGGGGTAGAAGTGCCCGGTAGGCAGGAAGGGTGGGTTAGAAGTGCACCATGTAGAGAAGTGGCCCGCGTAGGCAGGAAGGGGTAGAAGTGTTTCCGGTAGGTGGGAAGGGGTAGAAGTGTCCGGTAGGCAAGGAAGGGGGTATATGAGAAGTGTCCAGATAGCAACGGAAGGGGGTAGAAGTGCCCTTGTAGGCAGGTAAGGGGGCCAGGAATGGGGTAGAAGTGCCGGTAGGCAGGAAGGGTTTATATAAGTGTCCCTGTAGGCAGGAAGGGGGGTAGAAGTGTCTCGTGTAGGCAGTGAAGGGGGGGAGGTAGAAGTGCCCGGTAGGCAGGAAGGGGGTAGTAGAAGTGCCGGTAGGCGGGAAAGGGGGGGTTAGAAGTGTCCGGTAGGCAGGAAGGGGGTAGAAGTCTGTCCTGTAGGCGGAAGGGGGTTAGAAGTGTGCTGTAGGCAGGGGGAAGGGGTAGAAGTGGGTAGCAGAAAGGGGGTAGAAGTGCCGGTAGGCAGGAAGGGGGTATTTAGAAGTGCCCTGGTAGGCGGGAAGGGGGTTAGAAGTGTCCTGTAGGCGACGGGGTTTAATCACAGTGTTTATATATTTTTGGCGCTTTTCCATATTATTTTTGAAGGTACAATTCTACCTTAAGCCGGGTTCACATACATGTGGTGCGGGTTTTTATTATCTCATGTGGATTCGCACGGGAACCGCACCGCATTCCTTTCATCACATGCCGATTTGTGTGCGGTATACTTGGTGATCGGAGCCGTAAATTACATATGGCTCCTAATTACACCGCACACTCAGTACCCTATTTTTTGGGTCCCCCGCAGTAGAATTGGATCGCATATGGATATTCACACCTATGCCGATCCGATTCTGCACATCGCACCGCTGTTTTGTGGAACAATTTCGGGGTGTTGTTAACTTAACATTACACACCTGCAGGCGGTTCGCAATTGAACGGGGTGCAGGGGCGGACTGACCATTCGAGCACTTGGGCACTGCCCAAGGGCCCGGGGTCAGTAGGGGGCCCATGAAATGCCCCTGGTACCTTTTTTATAGGCTTTTTTGGGTGTGCTTTCATTATGTGGGCAAGGACACAGGGGCCCCATGATCCCCTATTGCCCGGGCGGCCCCCATGAGTTGTCAGTCCGCCCCATGATGGGGTGAGATTCTGAAATTCGCACAGAAAACACTGTAAATTCCAGCACCACGAACCGTGTGAACCCGGGCTCAAACATGTGTGTTTTCTGGAAACCCAAAGAGGAAGTCGAACTATAAACAGGAAATTCATTAGCTTTGGTGTAGCAATTGTGTGGCAGGGAGAGGAAACCTCATGATTCACCTGACATCATCCACTTTCTCTAGACTTCGTCATGAAGTTGGGATTTTTAAAAAAGATACACGGTGAGTGAATGTTGTCCACCCAGGACAGGAAATGGTGTTACTGGTGGGATCACCAAATGAAAACAAAGGATAAAAGTCTCAACAAAGAAAATGAACATGTAGTAACCACACCTAAGGGAGGCCATACACGCTTCAATGAACGATCAGTTTCTTTCCTGATCAATTCTTCTCAAAAAGATATAATGGATCTATTAGCAGGGGTGTCAAAATGGTGGCCCTCCAGCTGTTGTGGAACTACAAGTCCCCATCCCATGCCTCTGCGTTTGGGTAGTTCATGCTTGTAACTGCCAATCTTACAAATGCCTCAAGGGATTTGTAGTTTGGCAAACCAGCTGGAGGGCCACCAGTTTGACACCCGTGATATCTATAGTGAAATGACACCTATTCCCAGCAAAGAGAGACCCCTAATTAGATCGAGGTCAAAAAGCACTTGTGCCCCACACATAGGCAGATTATTATTATTTATACAGGATTTATGGCGCCAACAGTTTGCTCAGCACTTTACAATATAACGGGAGACAAATACAGCAACAATACAGTTCAATACAAGAGGGTTAGGAGGGGCCCTGATCCTGGGAGCTTACAATCTAGGAGGGAGGGCTAGTGGGTACAGAAGGTAGTAACTGTGGGGTAATGGACTGGTAGGAGTAGTATTAGCTGAGGGCAGGATAGGCTTACTCTGAAGAGAGAGGTTTTCAGAGATCGCCTAAAAGTGAGCAAGAGTAGGCGATAGTCTGATAAATTGGGGTAGAGAGTTCCAGAGGATACTCCAGTATCCAGTAACTGATTCAAACAAGATGTTCTACAAATAGTGAACAGAGTGAACACCCAATCAAGAAGTAATTTTTTTATTTTATATATATATATAGTATATATATATATATATACCGCACCTAGCGATAATACATTCAAAAGGGAACTCTGGGTTTATTAAAAGTATATACTCCACAAAAAGGACTGAAAGCTGGAAACCACATCAAAGTGCGGATGCTCAACATCAGATTGCGTGCCGTTCCCCTACGCGTTTCATCACCATACTGATGTCAGCAGAAAAAGGAACACAAGACTGTTCCTGTCTCCCCCCCGACAATGACAGCTGTGATGAAATGCTTAGGGTAGTAATGGCAATAATATATATATATATACACAGGGGTGGACTGACAACTCCTGGGGCCCCCGGGCAAATAGAGGATTCATGGGGCCCCTGTGTCCTTGCTCAAAGACTCAAAAAAGCCTATGAAAAAGGTACTAGGGACACATCTCATGGGGCCCCCAACACTGACCCCGGGCCCCCTGTATTATATATCTATATATATATCTATATTTATATTGATTTATTTGTTTGTGGATATTAGTGGGAGCTGAGGGAGCGTTAATTTTTTTTTTTCTACTACTTATATTTATGTTGACGTTTTAACACTAGCGCAGGCTACACTTGGGTTTTGAGCTTTGATAGTTGAGATATGATGATGTCTCAGTTGTGACGAAACGTGCAGGGTAAGGGCATGCAATCCGACATAGAAGTAAGGAGCCACCTCACCCTACATGTCTCTGCCTTAATAAACCATCGCCCCCTGATGTATTTCACGCTGTCCACCACGACCTTAGTCATAGGGTCCTACCGACTAAGCCCCTATGGGCGAGGTGAAATGCGTTGGGGGCTGTGTTTTTTTTTGTGGTTAGTTAGGTGAAAATGAGTCGGGGGCGAGCAGCTCCTTCCTTAGCTCCACAGACTGGTTGGTACCTCTCAGAGGGCTGGTGAGGTTCAGCTTTTCTTCTGTCTAAGTCTCTCCTGGAGGCAGGCCCCTTCCCTGGGCCCCATCCCAGGCTCCGTACACTCTCCTGCTCTCACTTCTTCCACCAAAACTCTCTCTCTTCCTACTGAGCAGGTTCAGTTATGCCTAAAGGCTGTCCCAACCCCCTTGCCAAGCCTCCTGCATTGGGGTATCGGGTTGAGATCTTTTAGACATGCAGACCAGCCACTCAGTTTTCTAGAGACTTCTCCAAGTCTTTAGATTCAGGTCAGGGGAGGTTTTCAGAGAGCTGATACTACAGAGCCTCTCATGTCCCTGACCCAAATATGACCCACCTGGCTATTCCAGATCACGTCAATTGTGATGAAATGTGTAGGTAAGGACGTGCGATCTGACGCTATCAAGATTGTGCATTGAGCAAGTGAATGACAATATATGTTTCTGTATGTAGATATCAGGGGTGGACTAACCATTTGGAAACTTTGGGCACTGCCCGAGGGCCCGGGGTCAGTAGGGGGCCCATGAGATGCCCCCTGGTACCTTTTTCATAGGCTTTTTTTGAGTTTTGGGCAAGGACGCAGGGGCCCCATGATCCCCTATACTATGCCCGGGGGCCCCATGAGTTGTCAGTCCACCCCTGGTCGTTCTTTTTTTACTACAGAATTTATGTTGGCCTTTTTTACACCAGCACACTTGGGTTTTGATCTTTGATAGCTAAGATACTTTAATGCCAGTTGTGACGAAACGTGTAGGGAAGAGCATATCATCGAACATAGAAGTAAGGAGCCACCTCACCCTACATGTCTCTGCCTAAACCATGCCCTTCTGATGCATTTCAACCCCGTCCACCACAACTTTGTCATAAGGCCTACGACTAAGGCCCCTATGGGTGAGGTGAAATGAGTCAGGGTGTGGCTTTTTGTGGAGACATGTAGGCTGAGGCTGCACCTTTCTTCTATGTCATATGGGCTGGTTAGGAGAGCGAAGTTCCTTCTATTTATGTGCACAATACTTTCTAAATGATTGATCACCGGCATTGATTTTGGGATGTAATCTCTGATCTGATACTCTTCCACCCTCTGGCTGATCCTCTCAGTTTTGATCGAATACAATCTATATTGATCTGATGAGAGGTAATGGCTATTTAGCTGTTTGCAGGTTTGATCATTTTAATCGATTCACACATCGATTGGATAATAAAATCAAAGTGTGTATGGTGAGCTCAAGTAGATAACATGTTTGCTCCTGAGTTTGGACACGCTTTATGATAGGAACCAACGCAGGATATCATAGAAAAGTCGCTTTAATAGTTTATCTTTTTTGTTTAATTTTTGGATCCGAAAAAGATCTCATTGAAGCCAGTCTCCTGGTATGTGGTACAGTACAGTGAGGTGAGGGTGTCGTGGGTGTCAGACTTCCATCTACTGGAGGAACAGACTGGTGATGAGAGATACACACAGAACACCCAGAGAGGCCGTCACAATGGTCCCCGGAGACAGAGGCTCCGTGTTCTTTCTCCAGCCACTTGTACTCCTCATGGCGGCCCTGTCTCTGCAGCTCCGGCAGCATGATCTGTCTGATCTTCTCGTAATATTTGTTAACATAGCGGATCTAAAGGGAGCAGCAACCACAAATAGCAACATTAACAACTTCAAGTGTTACTAAACCCGGACCCTGCATTCACTATATCTGCTTTCCCTGGACCCTGCATTCACTATAGCTGCTTTCCCTGGACCCTGCATTCACTATATCCAGTCTCCCGGACCCTGCATTCACTATATCCGCTCTCCCCCCGGACCCTGCATTCACTATATCCGGTCTCACCAGACTCTGCATTCACTATATCCGACCTCTCACCAGACAGGACTCTGCATTCACTATATCCGCTCTCACCAGTACTCTGCATTCACTATATCCGCTCTTCCCCGGACTCTGCATTCACTATATCCGCTCTTCCCGGATCCTGCATTCACTATATCCGCTCTCCCGAGATCCAGACCCTGCATTCACTATATCCGCTCTTCCTGGACTCTGCATTCACTATATCCGGTCTCACCAGACTCTGCATTCACTATATCCGCTCTCACCAGACCCTATGCATTCACTATATCCGCTCTTCACCAGACTCTGCATTCACTATATCTGCTCTCCCCCGGACCCTGCATTCACTATATCCGCTCTCACCAGACTCTGCATTCACTATATCCGCTGCTCAACCAGGACTCTGCATTCACTATATCCGGCTCTCTCCCAGATCCTGCATTCACTATATCCGCTCTCCCACGGATCCTGCATTCACTATATCCGCTCTCCCGGACCCTGCATTCACTATATTCGCTCTCCCGGACCCTGCATACTATATCCACTCACCCCGGATCACACTGCATCCTAAATCTGCTCGATTCACCGGACTGATTTCAATATATCGCTCTCCCCGCCGGACCACTGCATTCACTATATCCGCTCTCCCCGGACCCTGCATTCACTATTATCCGGTCTCCCGGACACTGCATTCACTATATCTGTCTCCCCGGACCCTGCATTCACTATATCGCTCTCCCCGGACCCTGCATTCACTATATCCTCTCTCCCGGACCTTGCATTCACTATATCCGGTCTCCCCGGACCTGCATTCACTATATATGGTCTCCCGGACCCTGCATTCACTATATCTGGTCTCCCCGGACCCTGCATTCACTATATCCGGTCTCCCGGACCCTGAATTCACTATATCCGCTCTCCCCGGACCCCCGCATTCACTATATCCGCTCTCCCCAGACCCTGCATTCTCTTTATATCGCTCTCCCACCCAGTACACAGAACATTGGAAATGCAATTATTTTATTAAATATAAAACTGCTGAATCCGTTTTCTCATCAGCAGTGGATATAGCAGTCTTGTGACTTCTATCAGTGTCCAGCTGAGCATTGGTTAAAGCTTGTAGGTGGAGTTTTCATTCTCCCTATGAAGCTGCAGAACCCCTGAACATCTGCCTTGACAGTGCTGATTTTACCTGTGCTGATAACATGCACTCTTTCCAAGAAAAAAAAAAAACTCCTCTCCCTCTAGCAATACACACCAAACTGAGCATGTGCCGAGTGACTCCTATAGCTCTGTACTTTACTTAATGGATGGATTGGGGACAGTAGAAGAAGGGGAGGATCAGGAAGACAGGATCAAGACAGGACAGAAGAAGTTTTGGCTTCAGGACAGCAGTTCCCAAAACTCAGTCCTCAAGTACCTCCAACAGATCATGTTTTCAGGATTTCCTTCAGCTGTTAGAGGTGGTTTAACCCTCATGCTACCAGAGCCATTTTTAATTTTTTTTTTTCTTGTACTGTACACATGTTGACAAAATCGCTTTAGGCCTGCAGATTACTTAAAACCCACCCCCAAACATGAAATATTTTCTGTGTAGCACTACCCCCTTAGGAGTTGCCAGAAGAATTTGGGTCCCCCCCTCTATAGTACTGCACAGCCAGGCAAAACGCATTTCCTTCAGAACTTGCTCTTCAGAGACAGTAAACAGTCCCTTGAACTGGGTTTCATATTTTATTATTGGATGTAAACTAGGATGGGTGATGAGGGATACATGGGCTGCCAAGGAACTGAGGACAACTTCGGGAAACTATATACAAGTGCTCAGAGGGGTTTTTCTCTCAGTTGGAGAGGTCTCCAGACTCTCCTGGTGTAGAAATCCCTGGACCGGGGGATCTAGAGTCTGACTCTTTACCAGCACAGTCCAGCTGGGGGCTAATTAGGTTTCCCACCAAATGCCCTCTACCCTACTGTAGTCCAGGGGGGTGTTGTAGAAGTACTCACTGTCCCTCTTCTGTAGGTTGGCAGCTGCCTTCAAGCCTTCTGCTAGGCTGGCTCCTTCCTTAGCTCCAAAGATGGTCCTCGCTCAGGGGGTCGGTGAGGTTCAGCCTTCCCTCTGTCAAGTCTTTCCTGGAGGCAGGTCCTTTCACTGGGCCCCCTCCCAGGCTCCACACTCCAGATCTCCAGCTCTCACATCTTCCACCCAAACACCCTCTCTCCCCTACTCTAGTAGAGGGGGTGTAGAAGTACTTACTGTCCTTCTTCTGTAGGCTGTAGGTTGGCAGCTGCCTTCAAGCCTTCTGCTAGGCTGGCTCCTTCCTTAGCTCCACAGATGGTTCTCTCTCAGGGGGTCAGTGAGGTTCAGCCTTCCCTCTGTCAAGTCTTTCCTGGAGGCAGGTCCTTTCCCTGGGCCCCCTCCCAGGCTCCACACTCCAGCTCCTGCTCTCACATCGTCCACCCAAACACCCTCTCCCCTACTCTAGTCCAGGGGGTGTAGAAGTACTCACTGTCCCTCTTCTGTAGGCTGTAGGTTGGCAGCTGCCTTCAAGCCTTCTGCTAGGCTGGCTCCTTCCTTAGCTCCACAGATGGTTCTCTCTCAGGGGGTCGTGAGGTTCAGCCTTCCCTCTGTCAAGTCTTTCCTGGAGGCAGGTCCTTTCCCTGGGCCCCTTCCCAGGCTCCACACTCCAGCTCCTGCTCTCACATCTTCCACCCAAACACCCTCTCCCCTACTCTAGTAGAGGGGGTGTAGAAGTACTTACTGTCCTTCTTCTGTAGGCTGTAGGTTGGCAGCTGCCTTCAGGCCTTCTGCTAGGCTGGTTCCTTCCTTAGCTCCACAGATGGTCCTCGCTCAGGGGGGTCAGTGAGGTTCAGCCTTCCCTCTGTCAAGTCTCTCCTGGAGGCAGGTCCTTTCACTGGGCCCCCTCCCAGGCTCCACACTCTCCTGCTCTCACATCTTCCCAAACTCTCTCTCTCTCCTACTGAGCAGGCTCAGCTATGCCTAAGGCTGTCCCAACCCCTTGCCAAGCCTCCTGCTTGAGGATAGGTAGAGATCCTTTAAAAATAAAGACCAGCCACTCCCCCCCCCCCGCCGAGTTCTAGAGACTTCTCCATGTCTCTAGATCAGGGGGAGGTTTCGGGGAGCTGATCTGCAGAGCCTCTCAGTCATGACCCAACTTTGACCCATCTGGCTATTCCACCTGGCTGCTATTCAGCCTCCTACTAACAAAACTAGCTCCCCCTAGCTTCCCTAGGAGGGTGCTACATCTGAAAGCAGAGACCCTGGAGAATGAAATAATGGTAGTGCCAATTTATGTGAGGTTGCAGTAAGTAGATACCCAACATGTCAAGGCTTGGAATGACTTGCACCCATTAGACGGCGAGAAACTTCGATACCCTACATTTTCCATAGGCAACGCCTTAAACCCCCTTACAAGTCATCATTTCACAGCTAGCTGTAAATAAAGGGCGCCTGATGCATGTGTTCATAAGTGGGTCTATATTGTGGTGGGGGGTAAGTGGGTGTATTTTTGGTGGGGGGTAAGTAGGTGTAGGTTGTGATGGGGGGCTCAATGTTTTTTATGCTTTTTTTTTCCAGAAAACAATTTTTTCATCAATCAAAACAGTCAAATATTTGTTTTTTTGTGTGTGACGGGTTCTCTTTAACCACTAGTCTACAGGGCACTTCTACCCCCTTCCTGCCTACAGGGCACTTCTACCCCCCTTCCTGCCTACCGGGCACTTCTACCCCCTTCCTCCCTACAGGACACTTCTACCCCCTTCCTGCCTACAGGACACTTCTACCCCCTTCCTGCCTACAGGACACTTCTACCCCCTTCCTGCCTACAGGACACTTCTACCCTCTTCCTGCCTACCGGGCACTTCTACCCCCCCCCTTCCTGCCTACAGGACACTTCTACCCCCTTCCTGCCTACAGGGCACTGATACCCCCCTTCCTGCCTACAGGGCACTTCTACCCCCTTCCTGCCTACCGGGCACTTCTACCCCCCTTCCTGCCTACAGGACACTTCTACCCCCTTCCTGCCTACAGGGCACTTCTACCCCCTTCCTGCCTACCGGGCACTTCTACCCCCTTCCTGCCTACAGGGCACTTCTACCCCCTTCCTGCCTACAGGACACTTCTACCCCCTTCCTGCCTACAGGGCACTTCTACCCCCTTCCTGCCTACCGGGCACTTCTACCCCCTTCCTGCCTACAGGACACTTCTACCCCCTTCCTGCCTACAGGGCACTTCTACCCCCTTCCTGCCTACAGGGCACTTCTACCCCCTTCCTGCCTACAGGGCACTTCTACCCCCTTCCTGTCCAGGCCAATTTCCAGCTTTCAGCGCTATCGCACTTTGAATGACAATTGCGCGGTCATGCAACACTGCACCCATATGACATTTTTAGCATTTTTTTGAGACAGATAAAACTTTATTTTGGTGGTATTTAATCACCTCTGGGTTTATTTTTTTTTCTTAAACAAACCAAAAACCACTGAAAATTTTGAAAAAAAAAAAAAAAAAGTTTTTTCTTAGTTTTTTGTTATATACAATTTTGTAAATAAGTGATTTTTCTCCTTCACTGATGTGTGCTAATGAGGCTGCAATGGTGAGCACTGATAGGCTTCACTGATGGACACTGATAGGTGGCACTGATACATGACACTGATATATGGCCCTGATAGGCAGCACTGACTGGCACTGATAGGCGGCACTGACTGGCACTGTTAGGCAGCACTGACTGGCACTGTTAGGCGGCACTGATGCGCACTGATAGGTGACACTGACTG